GTTTAGCTGCTTTCACCGGTACAGACTGTGAAGAAAGTAAGAATATTTGTGCTGCCAGTCGTTGTTTCATTCTGTATTTCGTTTAAATAAATGCTAGAATTTGCAGAACTTCGTTCCTGCGCTGAACAGCCTTGCAAAAACAAAGGAACTTGCCTAGAAACATGGGATTCATACAAGTGCAGTTGCTTAGCTGCTTTCACCGGTGCAGACTGTGAGGAAAGTAAGAATAATCATAGTGCCAGTCGTTGTTTCCCACTGCATTTTGGCAAAATAAATTATACAATTTGTAGAACTTCGTTCCTGCGCTCAGCATCCCTGCAAAAATAAAGGAACTTGCCTAGACACATGGGATTCATACAACTGCAGCTGTTTAGCTGCTTTCACCGGTGCAGACTGTGAAGAAAGTAAGAATATTTGTAGTGCCAGTTGTCGCCATTTAGTGTATTGTGGATTAAAAAAGCCACAATTTGTAGAAGTTCATTCTTGCGCTAAACAGCCTTGCAAAAACAAAGGGACTTGCCTAGACACATGGGATTCATACAACTGCAGCTGTTCAGCTGCTTTCACCGGTGCAGACTGTGAAGAAAGTAAGAATAATCATAGTGCCAGTCGGTGTTTCATACTGTGTTTTGGCTAAATAAATGCTACGATTCGTAGAACTTCATTCCTGCGCTGAACAGCCCTGCAAAAACAAAGGAACATGTTTCGACACTTGGGATTCGTATATCTGCAGGTGTTTGTCGGCGTTCACCGGGGCAGAATGTGAAGAGAGTAAGAATGTTTCTGCCGCCAGTTATTGCCAGTCACTGGAGGGCTCTAAAATATGTTGAAATTTGTAGAACTCCATTCCTGCGCTGAGAAGCCTTGCAAGAACAAAGGAACCTGTGTTGACACTTTTGATTCGTACTACTGCAGGTGTTTATCGGCTTTCACCGGTGCAGACTGTGAAGAGAGTAAGAATATTTCTGTGGGCAGTTGTTGGTATATACTGCATCGAGGCTTGTAATATATAATTTCTAGAGCTTAAGTCCTGCGCTGAAAGGCCCTGTAGAAACAAGGGAACTTGTGTTGACACGTGGGATTCGTACAGTTGTTCTTGCTTAGCTGCTTTCACCGGTGAAGTATGCGAACAGAGTAAGGAGTTTTAATCTATAAGCTAGTGCTGCGCACCACAGAGAAGGTGCTGTTAAATATGCGGTAATTTGCAGAAATTCATTCCTGCGCTGAAGAGCCCTGTAAAAACAAAGGAACTTGTGTTGACACCAGGGATTCTTTCAGTTGTTCGTGCTTGTCTGCTTTCACTGGTGGTGTTTGCGAACAGAGTAAGATAGCTTCTACCGCACTTTACTGTTCCATACCGTACTTAGGGTTGTAAAATATTCACTAATTTCTAGAACTTCAATCCTGCGCTGACGAGCCGTGTAAAAATCGAGGAAGTTGTGTGGACACGTGGGATTCTTATAACTGTTCGTGCTTATCGGCCTTCACGGGTGAAAATTGCGAACAGAGTAGGATCTTATTGTTTCTAACTGTACTGAGGCTTTTGTAATATGCGGTAATTTGTAGAACGGCATTCCTGCTCTGAACAGCCCTGTAAAAACAAAGGAACGTGTGCTGAAACGTGGGATTCTTACAAGTGTTTGTGTTTAGCTGCATTCACTGGGTCGGTTTGTGAAGAGAGTAAGAATTGCGATTATTTTTTAATTTATGGTCTAATGTGGGTTAGTGAATGTGTCATTGTTCCTGGGGGTGCATTCGTGCTCTGTGGAGCGCTGTGCTAAGAAACGAAGATGGGTCGAGATGTAAGATTTTATGACTGTTCGTGTTTGGCTGCTTTCAGTTTTCCACTGTATGGAGAGAGCAAGAATTCTTGGCTTCTACGCTTTTATTTCTTACCTTACTGTGGGTATGTGAATATGCGACAAAGCGTAGAACTGTATTACTGCGCGCACAAACGCCAAACGCTGTAATAGAGAAGGAGCCCGTGTTAATTCTCGAAATTCTTGTAATTTGCTGGATGTTTGCTTGAAAAGGAAGGAAGGAAAGGAAGTTTAGAGGAAGGTTGGAATGTGGATCTTCGTTCAGTTTAGGAAGATTAGGATATTTAGACGTGCTTTTTCGTGAAGTTGATGGTGCAGTTCTGTTGCCTGTTTCTATGCCACAAATCAGGCGTGGCGCTTTTAAAATCAGAATCCAGAGCCACGCGTCGATGTAGTCTCTGATTTCCGTCCCGCAGAGCGATTCTGATTCATGGTCTTCGAAAATAAGAATCAGGTTGTTATTTACGATACGGTGTTTACTTGCGACCCCAAGACTGCCAGTGTTTAGATGACTTCTTGGGCGTAGACGGTGAATCGGGCAAGCTAGCATTTTGTTTACTTTTTGAGACACATACTAAGCGTAGGCAAACAGTATCATTATATCATAATCGCATTATGAATGGTCGTTCATAATACAGACACTGCAGAACACCGTGAGGACAAAATAACATGCAGGCATTTGCTTGTGGTCTGTCGAAGGCATGATCCACGATCAGGATATCTTGTAGAAATTCATTCTTGCGCCAGTCAACCATGTGAAAATAACGGAACATGCACTGAAACGTGGGACTCTTATAGATGCACATGCTTCGATGTCTTCACTGGCACTAACTGCGGATCAAGTAAGTGATTAATAGATTATCTTACATGGAAGAGAAGAACAAAAATTTATCATCAACAATTAAACCCCGTTAATACGTGTGCTGAGGAATGGTGTCAGAACAGAGAAACGTGTAATATTTACGACTGCATCAGTGGTTCATGTTTGGAAGCCTTCAATGACACTGTCTGTGAACGGGGTATGCTTATCGTCGTTTTTGCACTGTCGAAAAGATGAACAATGACACTCTGTAAACGTCTATTCTTGCTCCAAAGAACCCTGTCTAAATAACGGGAGGTGCTCTGAAACCTGGAACTCTTACAACTGTTCCCGTTTGGTCGTCTTCACCAATAGAAAATGCGAGAATAGCAAGCGTTAACTTGTTAACTCCTTTCTTATGTGCTTAAGTAAGTACTGAATGGTGCCTTCTACCTAGCATAGGTTGGTTTCTGCACATCGAATTTTATAGGTGTTCTAATTTTCTTGACTGTCAGTGGTACGGGTGCGAATATCAAAGTCATGAACAGCTGAATCATGCTGCCAGAGGTTCACCGTAAAATCAAATAACGTTTCTCATGTTTTCGTCACATTATTACATCATTGAGATTTCAAGCAGACGATGAGGCCATAGGAAGATGGTTCAGTGACACATTGCGTGGGGTAGTGCCAAAGTTTGACATACAGGGTCTTTTGGTGAAGGAAATGCTGTTTTCAACTGCGGTTCAAAAATACAGGTCATGGGGAGACAACAGCTTCTTTTGGTTCATGTCTGGCATGGCTGCTTTTATCCGGCTCCTGAACTGCTTCTTTGCAGCGGTAAACGTTCAAAATGTAAGTCTCGTGTCGAAAACACGAAGCGAGTTCCGGTTTAAGATCCACCACGCTAGTTCACCTTTATAGAAGTCAATTTAGGCAAAGATTAATCTTGTGACAATAGAGGATCAGAGGATTCTTACAACTATTCCTATTCGGATGCCTTCAGGGCATAGATTGTGAGAGGAGTAAGGAGTTAAACTGTTCGTTCTGATTTCGTGCAGCAGTTGAATCTTTACTTATAAAAGTCCGTTCTTGCACTCCTACACCATGTGCAAATAGAGGATCATGCTTAGAAATGTCAGATTCATATAACTGCTCACTTCATATGCTTGGAAGCTTTCACGGGTAGAGAATGTAAGGCCAATAAAGTAATACGTAAATATTGAGCAATAAAGTAATGTTAAGTAAGTAGG